ACCAGGGCACTGCACCAGTCACCTCACCAACTACTGAAAATCACTCTGCCTGTCCGACACCCCTCCCAGCTTTGATTGGATGCATTCCAATGCAGCTCTGAGTCACAAAGAGAGCCATGAGAGTAGGTAACAGCCGCAATGCTCCAGGTGACGACGACGATGCTGAGATGCTGATGTGATGATTCCTCTGGCCAACCTCCGAGCCACAGGGAGATCAGGCACATGCTCTTCCCCCCTCTTTACTACAATATTTATGAGTACTTACTGTACGTATACCAGATCTGTGACCTCTACCAGCAGGATATTGGGACTCAATAGCCCATCATTGATTGGGTTAATGTTTGATGATGGCTGAGCTGCAGCAACAGGCAGGAATGTCGACAGTATGGAAGGAGCTGGAATGTATCGGCTCGTCTGAGATTCTACCGTACCGATTCTACCTGAAAGGTACCGAGTATTGGCAGTCAAATATGTACAATGATGATGATTGATGCCTCTTCCTTGCTGCTAACCTGTTCGGAAAGATACAGCTTACAGGAAGTACTGTATGTAGAGTACCTGCTGATGCATATGTGGTGACCTACAGCGAGCGACCTCGACCATCACCGTGAGAATGAGGCAGTCCAAGCAGTTCCAGGCAGTCTAGGAAGACCCAGGCTTCCAGACCTTCAGGGTTCATGAGCCAGAAGTGACACAGGGCAAGGGCAAAGGGCAGGGCAGGACCTGGCATGGCATGGCATGGTGTCATGGGCTCCGCCTTGAGATCACCCATCGCCACCGTTGACTTGTCACGACCATACTGGTGATGATGGAGGTTTCCTCCCCTGAGATCATGCCCTTCTTCGCTATTCTATGCCTTCTAGAGGGACTAGACTTACTGTAGACGTAGAGTTGGCTGCTGCTGCCCCCTCTTTTTTCTCACCCCATGATCCATACATCTGTCTAGATCCATTTTGATGACTGACCCAATTAGTACCACGATCCATGATGGATCCATGATTGACTGATGATTGAATCAATGTTGCCTCCGCCTGCCCCCTTTCGGATACACGGTGACTGGGCGGGGGCCTTTGGAAATAAAAGTTATAAATATCCAACCAGAATGGATTAGATAATCCACCTTTTGCGACCACTAACAAGCCAAGCCACACTTTTGGTGTGAACGACTCAATCTCCATGAACCAATTTTATCTTAGTCAACTTTCTTAGTCCTGTCCACGACACGTTTTCTTTCTTTCTTTCTTTTTTTTTTTTTTTTTCCCTGTTTAATATATGTTTTGGGCTTCTTCCTTTGCCCATCATTTGATAAATTAGCACGGGGGTGCACGGCCCAGTCATTTGTCGAGCCGTACCACTAGCGCTCTTCGGCCGCTCCTTTCCTGTTGCTCATCGCCCTCTTTTCGAGGTGTGACTTCAGTTTTCGCCTCCGATAGACAAGAAGTGACGGACATGCTCTTGTTGGGTCCTGTCTGGCTTATGAATTAGCCATGGCTAGGCACCCGCGCTGCATTGCTCTCTATCAGTTTCGATGATCCTGTGAATTTTTGAACCTTAACGTCGACCAGGACTTTCCATCGACTGCCTGGCCTCTACATACATAGTACAGTACATAGTACACGTACTCCGTACCGCCGCCTGTTCCACCAGGCCAATGGATCGTAGGACGTTGCCCCGTCTGGGACTGATTGGAGGTCGGCATTGTCACCCAGGCCTCCTATTATTTTGTTTTTGTGTCATTTAGATTCATTCTACTTTTGCTTGGTGAACGACTGTGTCAATGGACAAAACAACGGTGGGAAGGATTATGAACGGTGGCCTTGTGAGATGACATGACAATTCATATCCTTTTGAAGGCTTCGAGGATTACCGCCAATGTCTGTTTTCCATCTACTGTCCATAGTAGCTGCTGATAAATGGTTGAATTACCCACCCTGGTTCGAGAGATGCCGACATGTGGTGGTGGGTTCATGGAATTTTCGCCCACCCCTCTCATGGCCGTCCTACCTCTTAGCTCTTGCAATTAAGCAGACCGGCCGCCGCTAAGCGCCCTGAAAGTAGTAATAGATGGGTCACTGCGGTGACCAACCCCAAGTGCCGATGCCTTCTGGGTTGGCCGTTCGAGCCTGCCTCTCGAACCCCTAGACTAAATGGTACTCAGTCTAATTGACCCGACTGACTGACTGACTGACTGACTAACTGACTGACCAGACTAAACTCAACATCCAACTAACTAACTAACCCCGACTAAAACTGAACCGTTTGGCTTCCCCGAGACTGCCCACCGCCAACCGCTGGAGCTTAAAAGGGGTGGTTGTGCAGTTTGACCCGGTCTGGTCGTGCAGCTTATTATTGGATAGCACTGCCGGTCAGTCAGGCGGGCGGCAGGCAGGCAAGTGAATTGTATTTACTGTACAATTACTCGTACTTCACTCTTACTGCTATGACCACGGGACCTCGGAGTATTATTCCCAGCTTGGGGGTGGGCGGCGGTGGTGGTGGCAGGTCAAAGATCAATTTAATAGTAACAGTGGTCAACAACAGTAACCCTACCTCGACCTCGCCATTGGTCCCAATGCGGGTGTCGGCGAGAGGTAGGTCATATTTCCTTAAATTAAAAACGGTAAACCAGAGGATCACAGGATTAATTCTACTGCACCTCCTCATCATCATTAATTCATACTAGACAGGAAAAGGCCCTTACCCTCGTTCCAGTCTTTTGTCGGTGCCGACGGTCGAAAGAGGGCCCCTACCCATGGATATGGGTATTCTCTTACTGTTCTAGCCTCTGTCTTAGCCTGCCTAGTGACTCCAGTGTTACGGTGAAGAGAGGGAAAAAAAGGAATTTTTCCCTTTCTTTCTCATTCATTCCCATTCATTCTGACTAACCTTTTCTTTCCTTTCCTCTTGCAAAGGTCCATTCCCTCCCCCCCCCTTAAAACACCAACAGACCAACCAACCAGAACAACGATGGGGGTTTGATGGATGGAGCACGAACGGGACATCGTCAACTCTCCGACTAAGATTATTCCTGGCTTTTGTCTCCTAGTCTCCTCCATCATAGCCATTGAAAACTCTGAAAACTCTAAACGATCACCCCCATGTGAAGCATTAGTTTAGTTAGTTAAGTTAGTTTAATAGAGATGATTCGAGTTCCATCTGCTCGGATGCTGCGGCTGGTCTCTTATTTATTTTTTGACTTTTATGGGGGGTGAGTTTCTCTCTGTCTACTCCGTAATAGTGTCTACTCCGTACGTACTAAGTTTGGAGACGGGGGATTTCTGGCGGGCGATGATGATGATGATGCTGCTGCTGCTGTTAATGAGGAAGGGCCATTGTTAAGGAATCCGAACCCCTACGGAGAATCCCTACGGACTTTTTTAGGGGCAGGGTGTGGTACCGGTTGGTCATGTATGGATTCTGGATGGCCCTCCATCACTGTTGGTTTCATTAATTAAAGTCATGTCTGTGGATTGGAGTAAGGAATCCAATTGATTCATTTTGAAGACTATGAACAACTATCATCAGGCTTGATTTAGCTGCTGCTGCCTGAGGGGACAACTTGAGCAGAGAACGACTGAGCAGTAGAGATACCACTTATCTAATACAATCGGCCAAGATGATTGAATGAACCACCGGCAAAATCCCCACCAGAGGCGGAATCACATTGGCTTACGATTCCCTTACCATACCAAGCCCCCTTCTGCCTCCTTTACCCACTGTCTGTGAGAGGAAAGGGTAACTAATTTGATCAACTGAATGAGAAAAATAAATAGGAAAAAAAAATATTCCAGAGAGAGAGAGAAAAAAAGAAAGAGGTTAGTCAGTCAGTACAAGGCCAGTTGAGCCGGGGATCGTCACTTTCTCAGTGACTTTTTTCCACCCTCCCAGACTCGCCGTGCCCCCCCCAAAGGACGAGCGCCGCCGCCGCCTCTGACACCTCTTGAGCCTAGCTAGCCTAGTCCCAGTCAATTGCTTTCTTTCTTTGCTCTTCTCTTTTCTCGCTCGTTCTCCGCTGCTGCTGCTTTTTTTTATTTTATTTTTTTTACTACGTCTGTCTGTCTGTAGTCGCGCTCTCGCTCTCTCTCTCTCTCTCTCTCTCTCTCTCCTCTTCTACTTCCCCCCATCCCATCCCTCCTCCCCTCTCCTTCCAACTCTTCTCCTCATCCCTCATCCCTCCTCCTTTTTCTTTCCCTTCTCTTTACATCATCTCATCCAACCTATATTCACCTCTTCCCTCCCTCCTCTTTTTGTCCACTCTGCGAAAATCTCCATTTTCTCATACCTCATATCTCAACGAGCTTTTCACTAAGTATCGTTGTCACCGTGGACTGGGACTACTCCCCTTAAAGCGAGAACTGGTGTTTGTCGTTTACATTTTCTTTTCGAAAAAGCGCAAAAACACTTTAAAAAGATCTCCACCGTCCCCTTCCCCATCCGCAACCCCTAACCACATCCCTTGACCCCCATCGGTTATTCGTTCTACTCGTTCGGCTACAAAAAAAAAACACAATCAATTAGCGATCGACTAGCTCGTCCGTCTTCTTGACGCCTTCGTGCTTGGTCAATTGTCCGCGCTGCCATCCCCCTTCTGAGAGTCACACGCCTTCACATCGATTACAAACTCGTGCGGTACCAACTCTCAAAGCAATTGCGCGAATCAATTCAGTCACGACCGTCTCACTGCTTGATCGCCCTGTGCTGTGAATACTGCCATACTTCTCATGTCATTCAACTAAGCAACACTTCCTTTACTACAAAAACAGAGCCGCGGCTCGCCGAGCAACCGCTCCCCTTCTTCTTCCCACCCCACCTAGGATCAGGTCGTGGCGGACGTGTAGACGGTTCGTATCTTGAGTTCCTCTCGGTCTTGATTGTTTGTTGCTCATTGGGTTTCCCTGCTTGCCGTCGGAGCCAACATACTGACACAGCGCCTGGATACAGCATCCCAGTCTACCTTCCTCCTCCTGAACTGGTGTCAACCTCTTCCTTCTCACTTCGTCATGCCATCCTTCTACGCCCCTAGCCTGCAGGGCCTTCCTCCGACACCGCCTCACATCGTGAGTGGTGGCCGCATGGAGCACGAGCAACCTTTCTACGTTCTGGGCCCCTCCGCTGCATTCCCGCCTCGGTACTCCCAGAACGGCTGCGAGTTCATCGAGCAGTATTCTCAGGCCAATTGCTATTCCAAGTCGGCTGTCAACATGAACGCTCAATCCCGCGTCGGAGCACGCAACGGCCGCGAAATGAACGCCGCCCACTCCGCGATGAACCTGCCCATGTACGGCGCCATGGCCACCGCCAATGTTCTACCGCCGCTCCGCAACAACGTCCAGCTCCCCCCGATGGACAACGGCATCGCGCCCCAGTACCGTCGCCAGGACATGATGGTGCAAGAGCAACCGCGCAAGGAGGAAAAGGCTACTGGAGGCGTTGCGGCGCACTTGGACTATGAGATGGACCAGATGTCCGACTACGTGGCTGAAATGGCCCAGGGAATGTATGCTTTGTACATCACCAAGATCAACCTAGCAGATATTGACTTAGCGCGAAGCGTCTACCCAGGATCGTCGGTCACCCCCCAATTCCGAAAATACGTTTACCAGATCTTGTCGTCGACTCGGCTCCCGAGCTCGACCATTCTCTTGGGTCTCTACTACCTCGCGAGTCGGATGCGCATGCTCTCTTCGGCCAAGGTGTTCCACTCTGGAAGTGGCCAGGTCTACCGGATGCTCACTATTGCTCTCCTCCTGGGAAGCAAGTTTTTGGATGACAACACCTTCCAGAACAAGTCGTGGGCCGAGGTTAGCAACATTCCGGTTGCCGAGTTGAACTCGATGGAGTTGGACTGGCTCTTCGCTTTCGAGTGGAAGATCCACGAGCGCATCCACGACAAGCAGGATGGCTTTGCTACATGGCTCAAGCACTGGGAGAACTGGCGTGCCAAGACGGTCGCCCGTGCCCAGGAGTCTCGCCACGCTCTGGCACCCATCGACACGAACGTCCCCCGGCCCCATCGCGTCTCCAAGCCGCTGCTCTCCCCCGAAGGTCCCATCCCTCCGCAGTACCAGCGCAGTTCTACCTTCGAAAATTCGTGGCTCAACCCCACCGCCTCTGAATACTCGCCCCCTTCTGCGCCGCACAGCGGCCCCAACACGCCGGACTACTTTGCTGTTGGGCCCTGGGCGTACACTAACCCCCCTCCGCCGTACACGCGTACCTGGGTGCCCACCCCACAGCAGTACATTCCTACAGCGCCTCCGTCACAGCCGCCGTCGTACCATCACACTCCGGCCTACGCTCTGCCTTTCGCGCAAAGTGTGTGGACTGGCCATGGCTCGTCGTGTGGCTGTCTCTATTGCATTAAGCCTGCGGAGCACTACATGTGCGCCAATCCCTTTGGCTCGATGCAACCGATTGTCGCTTAGTGGTGCCACGACTCTCACCCGTGGCGCGTTCTGGCGCTGGGGAAAAAAGTTATTTGTTTCCTAATTCGACTATCCTCGACATCGTCTTTTCACTAGACCATCTTCTTCGCATCGTCCAAAATTTCCGCTAATGATACCGTGTTCCATTCGTGTTCCTTGCATGACTACCCGTTTTCCTCGAGTCGGTTTCGATTATGTTTCCCGCTGAAAAGTACCCGCCGTCAAACTTGCTGGCTTTGCCTCAAAAGCAAAAAATCGAAAAAAAGTGTCCACCTCGGGCGATGATCGCATCCATCTTCATCTTTGCCCGTTGCCTCTTGTGACATGACTCTTCCTTTTGTTTCACTCGAATTCACTGGGCTGGTTTTATTCCACCTTACTGCTCCCGGGATTCTCTTGGATGGAAATCCCCGGAGTCAGAAGTCACGACAATTATGAATGTTTATTTTCTGCCTTTGCACGAGTTTTTTTGCCTCGTTTTCGCCTTCGCGTCTCCTTGATCTTTTACCTATTTTCTTCGGATTTGGGCATCTTATCTGGCAATGTTCCTCATAGATTGTTTCTCTTTCTTATTTGACCCTGGCTGAGTTAGGATACTGGCACTTTGTTCTTTTTGTCCATTTTCTGCTTGACTCCCGGGGATGTTAATACCTTGTCTTCGTTCGGTTCTATTTTTCGACTTCTCTTGCATTGTTCTGCTCTGGTCGAACAGATTCTACGAGTCATTTGTTCCTTCCACGACCGGAGTCAGGCATTTCAAGCCACTGTGGCGCGTTTTTGGCTGCAAGGTTTGACTGCTCTTGGTTGTACATTATACCATGTTTATTTTCTCTTCCTTTTCTTCCATGACCTTTCTACACTGAATGTCCATCATCACCCTTCATCTCGCATCGAGGGAACTTGGGAAAAAAAAGTGATACTCTCCCCCTTCCGCCTTGTTTCTTCTCTCCCTTTTTTTTTTTTTTTCTTGCCTACGGTGATCCCGCCGGATTATGTGTCTTTCTCACCTTTCATTTCGTCCTTGACTGTAAGTTAGATTAACTACTTTCTACTAACCATATGAAATCTGGGAAATGGAAACATACTACGAATTTCCGGATTTACAAAAAAAACCTGGAAATATCATTACAAGAACCTTTTTCTCTCTCTTTACTGTAAATATTCTAGTAGTTACTTGGTCAGTTTCAGCGTCCTCTGACAATACTCGGTCATCTAAGGGACATGCTGGCACGTGACGTTGCTCAAGACAAAACCTTCTTGATTAGGTAATAAAAGCCCTAGGGACGCTCCGTAGCCGTCTCGTGCGAAGGCTAGTCACCATAATCGGTTCCGATGAAGGCATATGAAGCCTAGACTGCATGGAGTCTAGACTGGAAGGGTCAGAGAGACAGGGTAAGGCGCTTTACAGCACGACCCAGCCTTCTTTCGCTCTTTAAGTACGGGGCGAATGAAAAGGGATCTATAGGAACATTTCAAGGACATGATAGGCGGGGAAGTTGGTGTATTGTTATAGTCTATTTTAACTTGGTAGGGTTCAGATCCCTCTCTGCATGGGCGTCAGTCATTTGTGCAACGTCTTATTTTCATTCATCATCGAAGATTTGGACTCGTTCGGCGTATTCCCGGATGTTGGAGACGTAGGTCTCTTCGATGTGATCGCCTTGGCCGGCGGCTACGCGGAGGACGAGGTCGTTGAGGGAGGCGCGGCCGAGGATGTCGACGTGGTCTCCTGTTTTTGGGTTGTTGTTAGAGGGTTTTGAGTGTTTTGTTTTGAGGGAGGTGCATGGATTGGTGGTTTTGGGGAAGGTGCCCCGGGGGGGGGGGGGGGGGGGGGGCGGGGGGGGGGGGGGGGGGGGGGGGGGGGGGGGGGGGGGGGGGGGGGGGGGGGGGGGGGGAGAGTGGGGTGTCTGGGATATCAGTAGGAAGGAGGATAGAGAAAGAACGAACCCGTGTTAGGCCCACCCCGGGGCGAGAACCGATCCGGCTCATGGGGCATCTCAAAGACCTTGATCTTCACCCCGGCCGGGTTGTACCGCTTGATGTGCCAGCCCTTGGCGCACATGTACCCAGTGCTCAGCAGGTTGACGGTGCCGTCGCCTTCGCCCATGTGAACGCCGTGGTCGACGCCGTCGTTGTTGGTGACGGTCGTGTCGATGCTGACGTTGAGGTTGACGAGGGGGTCACGCTCCTCCTGGTAGAAGTAGCTGCGCTCGGTGGGCTTGCCGACCCCGTAGAAGCAGTAGATCTTCATGTCCGGGGCGAGCGGGAGGCGGGCCTCGAGCGGGTTCAGCCAGGTGCGCGGGTTGTGCTCGTTGGCCTCGACCTCGCGCGCCGTGTGGGCGACGCCGTGCGAGTAGCTGGCCAGCACCTGGTGGCGGTACCAGTCCTCGCCTTCGTCGAGGAGGTAGTTCAGGCTCTCGGTGATGGTCATGTTCTTGACGATGCGGCTGGTGCCGCTCTCGCGGAAGTTGAGTAGGTTGCCGTAGGTGAGGTTCTGATGCGGCCGGTCGTCGGGCGCCCAGGTCGCGTTGCCCCAGACGGCCTCGCCGCCCTTGGGCAGCATGCTGGAGATGCCGGGCATGGCGCGGAAGATCTCGGCGCGCTCCTCCTTGGACAGGAACTTCTCCAGCCCGTAGACGGCGAAGGCGTTCAGCTGGGCGGTGTCGCGCATCTCGCCGGACAGGACGGCCGTGAGGCCCTTGACCGCCCCGAGCATGCAGCCGCTGATGTTGATCCAGTTGGCGACGTGCCGGTTGACCCAGTCCGAGCCGCCCTGGCCGTGCTCGGGGCTCTCGACCCACTTGAAGAAGTAGAGCACGACCTGGGAGCCCATGCTGTGGGAGGCGAGGGTGACTTTCTCGCCCTTGACCTGCACGGCCGTCTCGATGTACGACTTCAGGCGGCTGAAGTACTGGTCCCTGACCTCCATGTTCGGGTACGAGAGCCGCCAGTCGTAGGCCGCCGTAAACGCATTGGTGGGGTCGTAGCCGATGGTCGCCAGGTTCTCGAGGATCTTGTTCCAGATCCAGTAGCCCGTGATGAAGAAATCGGTCGCGTCGAAGCCCTGCGCCGCGCGCAGTTTGATCCCCGGGGGGTCCAGCCCGGTGTCCTTGTCCAACATAATATGGTTCTTCCACCCCGGTTTGTCGAGCACCAGCGCCCGCATCATGCTCCAACTGCCCCAAAGTCTCTTGCGGAAGTACTGCCGGGACCCGGGTTCGGTGCCCCAACTCTCTAGGCCGGTGGAGATCACCCCGGGGATCATCACCATCGGGTGTTTCGCCTGGAAACCTTGCGCCTGCAGGTGTAGTCCGACGGAGAACGGGTCGTAGTTGACTGTGTCGCGCTCATGTTGCTATATAGATAGTCCCACAGCGGTCAGCAATCTTCTAATTGGTGTTCTCTGCCTGCAGAAAAGCCGGGTTGCATTGTCTGCCCGCCCACATATTCTCCGGCGGGGCGCCGACAGGGAAGAAAACGTACGGTGAATTCTCGTGCATCGTTCAAGAACCCATGCGGCATCACCTCCATTAGAGACTCGATGTTGAAGTCCATTAAACTGTCTAAACTGATGACATCCTGCTGGTTGGCGAAGAGCACGGCGACCAAGACTCCGAAGAGACCGCCCAGCGCGAAGATCAACCCATTGCGCCGTTTACTGCGCGGCTTGTGGATGAAGGACTCGGATCGTTTGGATTGGGAGGGGCGGGCAGCTGCAGGCGAGTCGGTATCAGATTTGGACTTGGTGGAATTGTCGCGAGAGGAGGAATCGGAGGAAGGCCGCACCTCGTAGTTGTGGTTGTGGTTGTGGTTGGGCTCCTCCTCCTCCTCTTCTTCCTTGCCCACGCGACGCCGGAGCATCACCGCCGAAATACAATGTCAGAAAAGGCTCCGTGCAAGAGCAATGGCATAGATAGGGTAGTAGCAACCAGGTAGCCAGATCAGAACTCAAAAGAGCCCGACGCAAAGAAAAAAGAAATAGCGAGAAAGAAAAGAAAAGGGGGAAAAAAAAGGAGCCGCGGCCAAAAGACAAACAATGGGGGGGTTGGATGGAAAAAGGTTGATGAAAATCACATGTTGGGGGACGGAGAAGGAGACGAAGGAAAGAAAACGGAGCGGCAATCGGACGTCATCCCGAACTGAACTTCTTTTCTTCCTTTTCTCTTCTCACCATCTCCGATTGTACGTGTAACTTGTGCCTGTCTGTCTGTCCGTCTACATATCTTACCCATCTCACGTCTCTGTTCCTGATTCAATTCGCATTCCTACCCTCCAATGCCATTTCCTCCACCGCTTCAATGAACCCGAATCCGACCCCCGCATTGTCTTCAACCGCCACAACAGCAGCAGCACCACCGGCACCGGCACCACCAACAACCACCACCACCACCACCACAACAACAACAATAAATACCCACACCCCCCTCCGCTACGCCCGCTACGATGGCGCCCGCGAAGACGAATACGTCCCGGCCATGCGCCAACTAATCTCGAAAGACCTCTCCGAGCCCTACAGCATCTACGTCTACCGCTACTTCCTCTACCAATGGGGGGATCTATGCTTCATGGCCATGGACGATTCTGTCCCGTCTTCCTTCCCCACATCCGAAACCACAGCCACCCCATCCTCATCATCACCGCAACAGCAGCAGCAGCGCATGGTCGGCGTCGTCGTCTCGAAACTCGAACCACACCGCGGCGGGCCTCTGCGCGGATACATCGCCATGCTCGCCGTGAAGGAGGAGTACCGCGGCCGGGGCATCGCCACTAAGCTCGCGCGGATGGCGATTGATGCGATGATCGAGCGGGATGCGGACGAGGTGTGTCCAACCCCAGCCCCCCGCCCCTTCAGGCTCAAGCTCAAGCTCAAGCTAGATTCCATGCTAATACCCCCGGGGGGGGGGGGGGCCAAACAGATTGTCCTCGAAACCGAAATCACCAACACGGCCGCCATCAAACTCTACGAACGGCTGGGCTTCCTGCGCAGCAAGCGGCTGCATCGGTATTATCTGAACGGGAACTCGGCCTATCGGCTCGTGTTATATCTCAAGGAAGGCGTGGGGTCGATGCGCACGACGCTCGATCCGTATGGGGCGGCTCCGGCTCCGGCGCCGCCGTATCCCCTTCCTCTGCCCGGCGGTGGTGACTCACAACGAAGGGGAGGAGGAGGATCAGCGGAGATGACGGGGGCGCTTGCGGCGCCGGAACCGGCTTTGCTGCATGAGAATGGCAGTGGTGGTGGGTGGTAGGTAGATGGCCAGGGTGGCCAGGGCGAAGAAGCGTACAAATGACAGAATTTACGGGATAGCCCCCAAAGACGATTGGCCCACTCCCATGTTTATCCTTACCATGGAGAATCGAGCTGGATATATTGGGCTACAGCTGTTCCCATACACTCATACCCACTGCGCGCTCACTTTACCTAGATGACCGACTAATGATTATGTGTATGCATGTGATGAAAATGATTCATGTTTCTCTGCTTAGAACTTGGTGACGTTGGGGGGATGGGTGAGGTGGCATCGTGCTGCAGGTCATCAATTGCATTTGGCGGGAACCACTTTGTGATAGGTTCAGGACAGCATTAGAAACTTTTTTTTTCTGGTCAGGAATGCACATTCACGGATTCTCTAGTTTTGTTGTCTTTATCTTCCGCTCTATATCTATAGTAGAACATCTATATACAATTATGGTTCAATATACATATATATACAGGGTCGCCAAGGGCCGAGAGGTGGGTGGATGGGTGGGTGAGTGACGAGTTGAGAGAAGAATGCGACAGAAGGATAGGCACTCGTAGGGGTAGGGGGAGATTCCAAGAGATGCAGTTGGAAGGGGAGAAAAAGCCAGCCTTGCGTACCTTCGAGATACGACGAGGCTTACCGACTAGCTCATGATCCTGGCCAATGTATGAGGCCTAGCAGGGGACCAGGGCCGCAAAATCAGGCAGCGGGAATCAATCACCGCCGCCGCCACCGTTGCTGCTGCTGCTGCTTCTTTTTCTTCTCGTCCTTGCGGTCGTGCGGGAGTAATTTGACCTGGATGATGTTGTCGCGCATCCATTCAAGGGTCAGAGCCCCCTCGCGAGCTAATGCTTTCTCGCGGGCCAATTCCTTCCATTCGAGATCCACAATGGTCGCAGCGTCGAGCATCGCCCGAAAGGATACCTGGGGCTTGTAGAACCGTGCCACGTCCATATCGCGAGCAAGAATCGCCTCGCTGACATTCAGCTGGTTGTTCCGCTCCTTGGGATCAACCTGAATGCACAGGTACTTCACCGGGTCCGCAGAATGATCAGCCGGCAACCCTTTCAGCTTATAAAATCTTCCGGCGACGGTTGGCCGGGGCGTCCCCAGATCGATCCCGAGGATGAGCCGCGCCGCGACGGCCCGGCGGAAGGTTGTCTCCGGGCCAGCTTCGTGCAGCAGGGATTCATAGACCCGCTCGGCGATGCGTGAAGCTGCGTGCCCTCTCATGCAGGCATACCGCCATATGACACGGCAAATGTTGTAGTATCCGCCGTGCCATGCGTGCAGAAAGATTCGCGTCCAGCCGGCAATGGTGAGCTCTCGCGCCGGATCCTCCATGGTCTGGTACATGTATTGCAGGGCCTGGAGAATGTTGCCCTTGTTGCATGTGCCCACGAGAAGGAGAAAAGTGTAAGGCTCAATACGTAAGCCATTCTGCCTGCAGAATTGGAACAATTGATCTCTCGCCTTCAGATGATTCACTCGCATGACGGCGCACATCATCTGGTTGACCATACTCGGGCTCCACATCGTGCTGTCCCAGTCCCGGGCTATCTTTTCCAGAAAAGAGTTCATGTCGCCGCCGTCATGGAGGTGCTCCACCAGTAAGTCGTGCAACACCGCGCGCAACGCCGTCCGCTGTAGCGTGGTCTCCTGCAGCATGCCTCGCTGCCGTAGACTGTTCACTACTGCCATCTTCTTGCTTGGAGAAACAAAGCAGTCAGCATAAGCAAGCCAGGTCTCGACATCTGCGCGGATGCCCAGATTTTCCATACCATGCAAGAGGCTCCTGAACCGCTTCAGGTTCTGCTCTAGGGCCGTCGACTTGAGCATCATGTTGAAGGTTTCCACGGTTGCAACATGTTTTGCGGAGCGGAAAATCTGGTGGGCAATCCAATACTGCTTGCGTTCCAACAAGAACGACAGGGCCTGATTCAACGACGCTGTTGATATCAGTTCGGTGTGGGCGCTTTTCAGGAAAAGCGTCTCGAGAGCATCGGCCACATCCGCGCCGTGCTTCCCGGGCTGCTCCTTGGAGTTGGGCCAAGAGGTGACGAGATCCTCCACATGGTGCGTAAAGTCCCTCACAGTAGCGAGCAGCTCTCCCTGGCGGACAATCTGATCCACGGTGAACTCCGTGGGATCCTTGGGCATATCCCACGTGCCGCGAACCAAGGGTATGTCTTTGTGTATCCGGCGGTCAACCCGAGGGTAGATGGGAACCACCGGTTTACGCATGTCAACGACCGGATCATATTCATCCTGTAGGGTCCCAATCTCCAGCAGTTCTTTCTTGACCTCCTCCACCGCCGCCGGTCGACCCTCCAGAATCACCCGGCGACACATCCCGACGCTCTCCGACAGCGGCTTAACATGCACCTTGCACCCGTGATACACATGGCGATAGAAAATGTTCTCGCCTCTCGACACCAGGCCGGCGAATTCTGCGATTGTCTCCTCCCTGAGATATAGCTCCAGCTGGTTGGACTTCAACGGAGCACTTGCCGGGATGGCCCGATTCATCCTGAGCATCCTCTCGAAAACCGCAGCCTGGTCTTTCCACCGTCCCTCTATTGTTTTCTGTTGGTTTTTGCGCGTGTTGTCGAGTTCGGACTGTCGGTGTTGTAGTTTCTTTTTATCGCGGGGGGAGATCGAGGATAGCGCGGCGAGACTTCTTACCCGCGGTGGCGTCCATCTCGAAGTGTTGTCCGACGTCGGTTGAGGGAAGGGTGACCTCCGTGAGGCTTCAGGCTTTGCTGCAGGCGTTGTGGTTTCCTTGTCTAAGCCATGTCTTCCGACGGCAACGGAAGAAGTGGTTATGTGTCTGGAGGAGTGACTCCCGGTCGAGGACTGCGCGGGGAGTTGGGAGACATTGGATCCACGTTTGCTAGGGCGGTGATATTGTCTTGAAGAATTGAGAGAAGGATTTCTTGTCAAGGATGACCTCCGATGCGCGGGCAGAGACGTAAACCAGGATGGGTAAAGAAAGAGGAGTGGCTCATCGGGGGCAGTCGCGACGTGGTCCAGGACAGCAGATAGCCTGCGCCTCGTGAGATACGGCCGACTGCGTGAGAGCATTGACGAGAACCCGTAGGGACCGACCCTAGGCAAGAAACAGGGCCAAGGGGGGGGGGGAGGGTAACGGGTAAAGGGAATTGAGGGAGTTGTTCTTGAAGATTGAAGGTGGGAATATTAGAGGCAAGATCAAAGCTCCGGTGGTCACTCCGCTGCGGAACCTAGAAAATGTTTTTCCCGGCCAAGGCGGTCAGTGAACGGCCCGAGGTTTTGTGCCTGTCGCCGCCAGCACTCCGCTTTCCACTAACAAAGGAAATGTAGAGTGCACTATATGGGAAGGACAAGTACAAGCTCTTCACTTAGACTAACAATATCACTATCCAAAGGAATAAGATTAAGAATCAATGTACTGACAAAGGGAAAAATAAAAAAAAAACCAATCCATGACACCAAGCTAATTCAAGACCATGAACCCCCAATAATGAAAAGACAAAGCGCCACGCTACCCATGCAAACACAAGCAAGCCGCTATGAAGTATACTGGTAAATATGGCCCTCACGCCCGACTTCAGCAGCTTGGGGGATTCCTTTAATTTCACCCCCGTCATCCATAGGACGGAATGAGACTTTGCCGGAGTACCTCGACAACAAACTGCCCCTCTTCGGGGCTGGAGTCAGGTCCAGCATACCCGCGTCCAGGTGCCGGTTATCGGCATGCAGCACCTCAGGCCCCGTGAGATGACGCCGGGCCACATCGGCAGCTTTTTGAAGGTGATCGCGTTTGCGCTGGAGCTCCGCTGCCTCCTTCCCGCTCGTTTCAGAGCTACTCTGGGACAACTCCTCGACGACATCCGATAAGCGGGTGAAGTACTGCCACCGAGAAGCCTGGAAGACAAACATAGACATGATCTCGGGAATCTGGCATCAGATTGAAATCAGTACATGTGCCTGACGGACCAAATCAAGAGCAGAGTAGGTCAGAGAAAGAGAGAAAAAAAAAAAAAAACAAGCTTACCTTCCCATCCAAATAAAAGAGCTCGTCCCCACCCTCCTGCAGGAACTGCTCCAGAGCGTCCATCTTCTCCCGATCGACTCTGGCCACTCGCAACGCATGCATCAAGGCCGGGATATTGGCGATCTCCTCCACCGGCACCTCCTCCTCTACCTTCGTAGCCGCTCGACTGAGATACCCGGACGTGGCGCGCGACAGGCCACCGGCGCTCGACGCCCTCGTCTTCGCCTTCCCCGAGTGGATCGTGAAATAATCCTCGTTAAGCATGTGCGCCACTTCCAGACCCGACCGACCGCGACGACTGCGCTCCGACACGCGCTTCACGCGAAGCCGGACCCATCGGCGCCGGCGCACGTACGAATGATACCAGGGATGCGACCCGTGCCAGGCCGATGAGCCAAACGAGAACGAGTACTGCCACCCCTGGTCATCCACATCCCCGGACATATCCACGTACCAGGTCTTCCAGACCCATTCCCAGCTGGGGTCCGGGAGCTGCGCTTTCGTGATGTCGACGGCGCTGTCCCGACCGTCGGGGGTGGTCCAGGCCGCCGGGTCAAAGTTGAGCAGCGAGCTGTGCGAGTAGAGGGGGATGCCGAAGAAGAACCAACCCCGCTGGTTCTCGTACAGGATGTCCAGCTCGGTGCCCGGCTTCAGCCCCGACAGCTTGGGGTGGCTGTGGCCGTCGTGTTCGTGATCCCGAGCAGCGCCCTGGTCGACGTCCGACGAGTCGACATTGGGCTGGTCCTCCGGAGAGCTCTGCGACGAGGGGCCCGCCGTCAAGCGACTCTCCCCGGCCAGTGTGTCCGTTCTCGTCTCGGTCGTGAACAGGTCCCGCCCTTCGGACAGTCGGCGGTCGGAGTTGTCCTCATCGTCGGTGAGACCTAGACGGTCCGGCTGCCATTTGGCATACTTGCGCTTGGCGAGCTCGCTTCGTATCGATGCACGGGTGAACTTCCTCGAGATATTTCGGGAGAGGTCTGTTGCGGTGTGCGATTGCGCCAGCGCATCGTCCGACGGACGACGGGGAGCGGTCTTGTCGACCAGACTGATCTTGACATTGGTTTCCATTGTTTGGGGTCTCTGCGAAGTGTACTAGCTCAGGTAATCACGGCCCAGCAGTGATCTCATCGCAGCAGCAAGACTAGTCGTACCTGAACTGAAATAAAGAAAAGGCAAATGTTGTAGGTGGAGCTGAAGTTTACTGAGCGCAGCAGGGGTGATCGGCAGTCGAACCCCCTCTCCCCAGGACCGAATTAATTAAGGATAAGGATGAAGGGAATAATGAAGTTGATATGATCACATAAGACCAGGGGGGAACCCAAGTGTGAATTGCAGGATGATCGGCCACCACATCACGGAGAGATAGGAGTAGTTCATGCGTGGTAGTTAGTGTTTTAAGTGAAACCCCAAGCCAAGTTCCTCAGTTCCTCACTTGATCGATGACATCGTTGTGGGGGCCGCCGATCGGCACTAGAGAATTGCGGTGGCTGCCTGGTCGACGCCTGAGGCCACTCCTGCCTTTATGCCTAAGGCACCAGCGCCCTCTGCAACCCACCACTATCTAATGTTACCGCGGGTGTATCTCCGAACAAGACCTCCGGATAAAACAAACAATCAATAAACTCCAACCCCAAAGCCAGCCAGTCCCTCCTCCCACCGAGAACTATCATCCAACCTCCACCCCCCCCCACCCCGCCTCAAATCCATATCAAACCACCAACAGCACCCCAATACAAAAACAGGAACATGAGCGACTCGCACCACCGCAAAATCGAACTCCAATCCGCCGCCGACCTCACCTACCTCTACGGCAACACCGTCGCGCTCTCCCGCCAAAAGCTCGACCTCCACCTACCGCCCTCCGCCAACCCCAACGATGGCCCGGATCCGATGCGCGAACGTGTCCGCGAATTAGTTGACGAGGTAAAGGCCGCCCCGGAAACAAGAAGACCGAAAAACGACTCGCCCCCCCCCGCAAAGCTAACTCACCTCCACCGAACAGTACATCCTCCGTACCTTCACCGGCGCCTCTTACTCCATCACGATCAATGGGCTCGATTCCTCCTCCAAAGAATTCCCCTTCCCCGCCTCGTTCACCGCCCCCACCGAGCAGGTCGAGTATGAGGCGTACGACGCGAAGCTCGCGTCGCGGGTGACTTCGCTGTACGCGCAGCTGGAGTCGTTGACGACGACGGTGGCGCAGTTGCGGCGCGACGCGCCGGGGAGGGCGGCCCGGGCGTATGCGGAGCAGTTGAAGAGGGTGATTGAGGAAGAGGAGGAGGAGGAAGAGGATGAAGATGCGGAAATTGAAGCGGGGGAGGAGGGAGAACGGGAGAAAGAGGATGATGGCACGAATGTTGTTGTCGGTGATAAGGAGGAGGATAATGGGTTGAAGGAGGAGAGTGAGGGGGCGAGCCAGGATAGAGCAGGGGCGGATCAAGAGATGACGGGCACAGAGACAGGAACAGCGACGGCAGCAGCAGCGTCGAGAACCGGTGGTGAAGGACGTGATACGGAGATGGTCGATGCACCTGCAGGCGCTGAGGTTGGTGCCATGGATGGGTCGGCAACACCACCACCACCACCACCACCACCACCACCAAAGACAAGAAGGTCGGCTCGATTGGCGCGGCGCGCAAAGTTGCAGGTTCCCCTGGGCTCGAAACATGAGGCGGAGCGCTGGCGCAGTGGCGATATGGCGGAAGTCTACGAGGATGCCCTGCGCACCCTGCTTCGACTGCAGGGTGAAGCTCTAGCCGGGCAGGCCGCTACATCGGACGTTGAGGGTGCAGACGGGAATGCTCTGGCTTCGACTGTGGGGAAGGCCGAACGCGCTGGTCGGGCGGTCGAGGTTGTGGAAAAGAAGAGATGAGGGGTTGTTTCGTTGCCTCTGTCTCCTGCTCTCTGCTTTCTTTCGTTTTCATTTTGGATTTCATTGACTTTTCATTATCGGTACTGGAATGGCGTCGGTAGCCTAGGTAGGCTTGGGATGATACCAAATTGATTTATGGTGCATTTTGTTGACTAGTGATTAGTCAAGAATAGTTGGATTCGCAGTTTGGTTCAAATGGACTACTTGTATCATCTGTCGTATAATTGTTGAGAATGTTGTATGCAAACAAAATCTACGTAACTCTAATTCAACTTCCGTGTAGCACTTTTGTCGTCCGCTCTGCATTACTCCCCACCTGCACTCCGACTTATATAAATGCACCCAAACACGCTCAGACAGTGGTTGAATCTAAGCCCAAGAGACGACAAGAACTGTACTAGAATGGCAAATTGACAGGCAAAAAGAAAAAGATGCATGCTTGTGCAGCCGTCACCGGTTCCCAACATGTAATAAACTCAGTAGAAAGAGCCCACTTGCCGGGGTAAGGGTGAGGGGTTTGATCTGATGTTGAATGATGTATGAAATGGAAATTGGCTAGGGCAGGAGTAAAATGACTTGCCCGGGAAGGTATGGGAACGTGAAACAGACCAAGCAATTCTAGCAACAGAAGAAGGGATATAGATTGGCAAAATCGTGCCTGAAGCTTTTACCATATTGTTCCAATATAACGAAAACAAGAAAACCCATCGGAAAATGAGAAAGGCTCTATGCGCTAGGCTGGGGAACCTCAGCAACCGGCTCCTCGGTCTTGGCCACAGTCTGTTCCTCCTTGGGGGCAGCCCACTTGGGGGGCCTGGCCCACTCGGGCTCCTGCCAAGGTCCCATATCACTGAACTCGCAACCGCCGCTGCACTTGCAAGAACCTCCGAACTCTTCGGGGAGATTCTCGGCAGGAACCTGTTCCAACAGCTCCTTCTTGTAGCTGCTGCCCAGAATATGGATCTTGTTGACGGTGACGGGGTCGAGGAATTTCTTCACGAAGCTGAACACGCCGCTGAATCCCCAAGGAGCGTTGATCAGATAGAGCTTACCCAGACGCTCGGGGTAGTAGTTCTGGGAGACACCAGACGCCTTGCTGAGGTAGCCGTACACGGATGGGGCGCTGGTGATTCCGACGCCCTTGAGGTCCATGATAGTGCAGCAGGTCTCCAGGAGTTTGCCGGCCTTGCGCGAGCAGGCGGGCAAGCGGGGATCGGCGAGCTTCTCGTACTCAGTCACGAGGTTCTGAAGCATACGGTCTTCGGTGGTAATCTTGTTCAAGGCAGTGAGATCGATCTTGCCAAGCTTTTCGATGTAAACGGGCCGGCCATCCTAAACGCAGTCAAGTCATTGGCGCCCGATCTCGAACCGCTCTGAAGAGCATATTGGCCTAGTCCCGGGGTCGTACCTTATCCGTCTTGTGATAGTACTGAGGGTAATACTCGAAGACCTTAGACTTCTCCGTGTAGTCAAAAGTGCGGACCAGGTCGTCGGTCCCAAATTCTTTCCGCCACTTCTCGCTGTCGATGAACCTATTCACCAAAAGTGTTAGCGCGTTCACGTCTTCTTGAACATAATGCCCTGTCGTGCGAAACAAAAGCATGAGAGCATGCCAGCGCAGTGCCAGCGCAGTGCCGCCGTATCAACTGTGCATCGTTTTCAGGGCCGAATTGCGGAATAGGATGAAATGCAAACAAGAGGAAGACCTACATAGCTTTGGCCTGGGCGACATCGAACTTCCGGGCTCTCAAGAAGCGCAGCAGAGTCAAAGTGTCCAGTCTCTCAGTGTAGCCAAGCTGCTCCAGTTCGCTCCGGAGCTGTTCCACCTTCGCATCCTGTTCTGGGGTGGTGTGGCCGGGATGGCCAGACTGAGCCTCCGGGGCTGTGGTCGGGAAATCGTAGTTATCGTACTTGGAAGGAGCAGCCATCTTGAATATGTG